AATTCATATAATTTAACATCATCTTGTAAATGGTAGTTATATTTAATTTGATTTTCAAAATCTGCAAACAAATTAATGCACATATTTTTATTTCGTATAATTTGCATTCTATTAGATAAGTCTGCAAATAGTTTACATTTTTTTTCTCTGTTTTTCACAAATATGTCTAAGTTGTTTTAATTGCAAGCCAAAAAGATGAACACTGTTTATTGTACTTTTAAATATCTAAAAAATTGAATCTTTTATTTAAATACTATAATTAAATTTTAAAATTTGAAAACTATATACATATATATACCTTATTTAAATATTTATTTTTTTTTCATTATAAACTTTTAAATAATTATTTGCGGCAGCCGTAGGTGATAAATTTGAACAAACAAAATCTTCTTCTTCAAGTCCAAAAATTATTTTATAATGTAGACGTTTAGCAATATAATTTATATAACAAGTAACTATTTGTTCATTTTTTCTATAAGTTGTTTCTACAATATATTTGTCAGGAATAGGGTATTGATTTGGTTTTAGTGTATAAACAAGTTCGGATTCTTATAAATATACGCCTAGTTCAACAATAGTATTTATAACTTCTTTTTGAAATTTTATACTTTATTGTATAATTAGTAGAAAACTCTTCAGCTTTTTCTTGTATAGATTTCATTAGCATTAGTTTTTAATTATGTAACAAGTAATTTTTAGTTTAGTTTATATATTAAAAATATTAACCAATCATAATAAATGTCAAACAAAATGATGGTCATAAGGTCAACATTTTGTACTACCTATAAATTAGGATATTTCACAAATCTGCCCATATATATACAATACTATATAGTTAATATATAAAAAATATATATATATATTTTTAACCAATTAAAATTTATTACACAAAAGTCAGCTAATTACTGTAATTTTCCAAAAATAAGCTACTATTTTTGAGCCAAAAATTATATATAATAGCTTTTTTTGGGATAAATTAATTTTTAGTTATTTTTTATTAAATAAAAGTAGTTTTTATATATATAAAAGTCAAAATTGAACTAAGTAAATATATTTTAAAAATTTCATACAATTTGGATAACTTTTTATTAGTATATTTTGCATGTAAAGTTTGAACTTAAAATGCAAAAATATTGTATATTAATAAAAGTTATCCAAATTGTATAAAATTTTTAAAATATATGTATTTTATATTTTAAACAACTTTTATTAAGTACAAAGCATATATTTACTTAGTACAATTTTGACTTTTATATATAGCAACTGTTAAAAAATTTAAAAAATTTGGGGTAGCTTATTTTAAAATAAAAGAGATTTTTATATTTTTTGTATAAAGAGAGAAGTACAGTAGTTTATTTTCAGTAGTAGTTTATTTTCAGGAAAATATAGTATATTTAATTATATAATTCCAAATTTGATACTTTTAAAAAATTTTTTTTAGTTATTCTATACTGTATTGTAAATTTTTTATATATAAAAAAAGGGTCTGTATTATTTTATAGAAGTTTATTTCACAGACACCTTGTTTCACAGATAATCAATTCATAGACAAGTTTATTTTAAAGACAATTAATTTACAAACAATTTATTTTATAAACAGTTTATTTTATAGATATTTCATTTTGTAGACAATCTTAACTGCAAATAATCCTAAATCAGTATTAAAGATTGTCTACAAAATAAAATGTCTATAAAATAAACTGTTTAAGAAATGAGTTATTTGTAAATTAATTGTCTTTAAAATAAACTTGTCTATGAATTGATTGTCTGTAAAACAAGATATCTGTGAAATAAACTTCTGCAAAGTGATATGAACTCTAAAATTTCTAATATCTAATTTAAAAATATATAAAAAATAGAAAATTAAAAAATATTTACTTTTTTTTTATTTAGCAGTTATGCTAGCATTTGTTAGGTTTGTTATATAATTAATTACACTATATATAATCTTTAAGAGACTATTGCTCTTAAGTTCTAATTTAGAATGTTCTATAGAATAAGTGGGCAATATAAAAAATAAACTTTGCTAATGATTAATCATTAATAAATATTTAATAGAGTTGTAGGGTTTTCAAAGTTTATCTACCTATTTTATAAAACATCTTTCCCACCTCTAGTAAAAATAAATTGGCTGATTTCTAGAAGCTTATTAAGTAGTTACTAAGATATCTTTATTTAAAGGTTTGAAAAAACTTAGCTATAGTATTTGTTTTAATAATTAACTAAATTTTTTTAAATTTTTTTTAAGTATTTAAGTATTTACTATATATTTAGTGAAAATTTCTAATTTACACTACAGGTAATTATCATTTGTAGTCAATTTTCTAATTAAAATTTAGAATTAAGTATAATATATAAATTAATTTTATTTATATTTTAAAATTTTGTTTATAAAGCCACTTTTTAAGCTCTAACAAAAAATTTTCTTGTTAAATTTTACTATATATAAAATTTTACTCTTAACTTCTAGCTTTTATTCTTATTTTAATTTTAAAAAAATAAATTTTTGTTTTATTAAAATCAATTATTTTTGTTTATATTATAAATTATAGGTAATAATCATATATAGTAAATTTTAGTTATTTTCTTTTATTAAAAAGGCTAGCAATATTAATATTTAAATCAAAAATTCTAATTTGATAATTATTTATATTTTTTTATTATAAAATTAATTTTATTTTAAATTATAGTTAGTAATATTTTTAAAAATTAAACTAAATTAAAATTTTAAACTAAGTTTAGATTTGGTTAAAATAATAAAGTAAATTTGAACTAAACTTATTTTAAAAAATAATTAAGTTTAAATTTAATATTAAATTTTAAAGCTAGTTTAAGTTTTTTCAAGTCTAGTTTAGAGTTTATAAATATGTTTAGTTTTTTTTTAAACTTTGACAATTTTATCTTTATTGTTTAAGAGTAAAGTATACTATAATACAAAATATTCAACCAAAAAGTTTGCTACTTTCAACTCTTTTACCTTTCAATAAAAACTTATTTGGCTGTTTATAATAGTATACAAGTGTAATCTGCTACAACAATAATACTCTCATCTTTAGTATTTAACTTTTTTTTTTCAATATTGTAGTTTTTTTTAGTTTTTTTTTTTATTACAAATAGATTATAAAATAGTTTAGATGAGAATATTCCTTAGGTCAAGAGTAATTACCTTATTACATCATATAAAATTTGGGTAATTACTCAGATATGGCTATGCCATATGTTATTTTATGTTATAATGTCCCCACCTCTAATCTTTACTAATAGGCTACCCATACCTGACACCCTATTAGCCAATCAAATTCCATAAATTATTATAAATAAATATTTAAAATTAATAATTAATAATTAATAACTTTTGATCTACTAAACCAAATTTGGATAATTTAATTACCAGAATGATTCCCTTAAAGAGAAGATTCTAACAAGTCTAAATCACAAAAATCCAATTACTGAACCCTGAGATCGATCTATATTTGTATATTATTATATATATTACTATACTGTGTATATATATTAAACTTCAATTTGTATTACGTATTATAATTGTATAAACGCAAAGTAACATCCACATGCACGCTAATTAATTGACCTGCGCATTATTTCGAAATAATGGAAGATTTTTTAAATCCAATACAGTCAACCTTCTACAAATGCACGTTGTTGGGTAAAAGTGCATTTATAGAATATTGATTTATTAATCTGCATATTTAGGAAAAGTGCATGTGAAGTGTACTTATAGAGTGTGTGCAACAATAAATTATGTTATATTGAAATGCGCGTTAATTCGGGACGCTAATTCGAAATTATTTTTGAAGGGCCCGGTTTTCAAAATAACGCTCACGAGCGTTATTTCACGTTTATACGGCAGTAATAATAATTACTATCACATTCATAATCGTACTAAAAAAATATTTATATTACTTTAATTAAGCTTTCCTTTAATTGTATGGATAGCTTATGGTAAATATATCTATATAATATTTTTAAGAAATTGATATATCAATTTTAGCTAAAAGAATTTGCCGATTTCGGTATCGGTATTACGTATGGTACTGTATGTAGCACTAAATCCAATTTTATCATTCATACTATCAATTTTATTTCTTATGAAAAGTTAATCTTTTGTGTTGCATGAAGTTCAATTCACTATACAGCAGTACACCAAAATTTTTTCTAGAGGTCAGGTCGCTTGACATTATGCTTGCCGCAAATTTATATGCTACGGCAAAATATAAATAGAACCCATACTTTTTAAAGATGTCAAACAGACAAGTGGGGTTGAGCTAGCGACATATAATACTGCTAAATGATATCAATAGAAAACAGATCATAATCACTATCGTTATATCCTTAAAATTATTTATTAGTTTTAAAACTTATCAAGTAATTGTTCTGTATATCTAACCAATTAAATATGGGAAAGTATGGGTTTAAATTAAATTTTGTGTCTCTAGTTAAGGTTCAAATTCACCGATTCGCCCATATGTTATACTAATGCGAAAAACAGAGAGTAAAAACCAAAAAAGGAAATTATCAGTACTACCGGTGAAAAAAAAGAAAATGAGGCTACCACCAGTATATCTGATGAAATCGGGCATGATCTCAACTCTTCAGGCATTACGAATACATCTGATGAAATCAAATTTAACTCTGATCGTTTATGCACTTTAAGGAAAATGGTCTGATAACACTTGAGAACAAAAAGCTAAAGAAAAAAACCGTTAGAAAACATTAAATTATAACACAAGCTTAATTCTTTATCATAAAAATTAATAAAATTAATAAAATTATTTTTTATTTTTTTTTGTAATATATATTTATTCAACTTGTTTTTTATATGACGATATATATAAATCATAAATCAATGAACTTACCTCAGATAATATATGAACAATCACTGATCAAATCATCAGTAAAAAAAGTATGATTTATGAATCTGATTTTTTATATACTCTCAATTTCCCAATTTCTGCAAAAAAATCCATTCATTTTACGATATAATGTCAATTATTAATATTTGGTGCCTTGAACGTGGAAGTAGTTGCAGTTCAGCTTTTTATGTTACCGTTAGAAGTAATAGTAATATTTTCGATCTCAAGAAAGCCATCTTTAAGGAAATTAGTGTTTCTTGTAATATAAAACCAAAAGACCTTAATTTATGGAAAGTTAACTACAACCAAAATATATCAGATCATGTTCCTTTTGATAGTATATTAAAAGATGAAATGAGAATAAAAAATCCATCAAGTTTGATTAGAGATATTTTTTGTGGTGCTGAAGTAAATAATATTCGAATCATTTTTGAAACACCTGCTACTAGTGGTAAGTATGTTATAATAAATTTATAAAATATATTTTAAACATCATTATAACATAATTTTTATAGCCGTTGTATGTGATAACATTCTGGCTGAAGGGCATTATCATTAATTGGGAGGATGGTACCGTGAGAAATTATTGCCGCGGAAAATAACATCGACTAATGATTACCCGTATGTATATTCGTAGATATCACCTGTTTGTCCTTCCGTTCAATAGAGACTACCGAAACATATTCCAATATTGTGAATGAATTCACGAGGAGGTTTATTACCGATGAATCTGATGGTTTTGGATGGTATTCATTCTCAGGTAAGTTATATTTTTAAGTATACATTTTTGCAAAAGATTTTTTAAAGTTCATTATATTTACTCTTCAATTTGATTTTAAAATAATATTATCGTTATATGGTGATTAAAAAAATTGAAGAAACCGATTATGATAGCTATTAAAAGTTCGTTATTTATATAGCAATGATATTTTTGGAAATAGAATGCTTATATTGTAAATGCAATGATTTTCCATAGTTTTTGCCTGTTATTCATTTAATCTATATATATATATTTGTTTGTTATTTTTGAAAAGTATTTTTGGTTGCTTTCATTAAATAATATAAAAAGTATAAAAATATCTTTGTTAATGTCGTAACATCATTAAAGTAGATCATATAATAGTATGTCATTAAAATTATTCTATATATCATTCTATATAAATCGAAATATCTACATACAAAGTTAATCTCTTACCAATCCAATATTAGGCTTTTTCACGTGAATCCTTCCTTCGACCTTGTATGTTCCTCAGCTTAGATGAAATACTATATAGTTAATGTTAAACCGTTTAACCCAATTTGAAAATCAAATAGATTAAACTAGAGCTAATTTAACTAAATTGGTTTATATAAACATCCCCTAAGTGATGCAATCCAAAATTTTTCTTAATCTATATTATGTTTGGATATTAAACTTATGTATATATAATACAGTATTATAAATATATTTAGGCTTAAACATGCAGTGAAGTTGGAATTTATGTGTGCATAACACTAATATTTTTCGACTATACAGTAGGACAGTAGGGACAGTAGGGATGGCAAATGTTTAAAGCACGATCTCAAAAATCATGATTGTTTGATTAAGCTGTTAAAAATGTTTAATACATTATGATACACGTATCATCATGATCCAAAATTATATAATTTAATTTGGATATACTGTAATTTATTTATTATTATTAACGAAAAAAAAAGAAATCATTAATAATGTCTCACGAAAACCCTTTTTAAAAGAAATCTGGTTGAACTTTACGAAAGTTACTAAAGTTGATAAACAACATCTCATCAAATGTGTAATTATTGTTATCGATTAAAAGGTCATTTGGATAGTATATTAGCAAGGATTTTTTTTTTTTTTGTTCGGCTGGCATTTCTTTTACAATTAATGTTTGGCTTAATTCATTCACAAACTTATTCTTAAGATTTGCATAATGATAATATTTTGCAAGATAATTAATATCAATAAATATAACACCAAGTGTATAACAATTAAAGCGAACAAATACGTTTTTATAATTCTTTCGTACCTTTTTTTACATGTAATATTTATAATAAAAGCGATATTTTTAGTTTTAACCAAATTTCACATCAAAAGCCGTTATTCTAAAACTTTTTTTTTAAAAAAACTGTTTTTACCATCCATACTATACAGTGGTCACAGAATAGACTTGAAAAGTATGTATAATCTGTGTTTTTGGCAACTCAAGAATAACAGTTATAAAGTTTGTGATATTTATTAATTATAAAAATTTTATTTATTATGTGCTATAAGGAATATATAATCTTGTCTTTACAACTCGAGCTCACTTTTAAATATATTATTTTGCTATGCCTACTTATATTGTTAATCAAATGCCATCGACCTAGAGTAATTATTCTGAGTTCGTTATGTGCGATACTCAGTTCTTTATTTCCGTGTATCATGTGTTTAAAATCAACTTTATTCTAGTAGGTTATCTTTTCCCTTCATTATAAAAGGAAGAAATATTGTTAAATTGAATTTACTTTTTTAATACCAAGAGAATATTTGCAAATTCTTCAAGATATGATGTATTGAATCGCTTCTTGATTTTGTTGTAAGGAAGGCGGTTCTTTGAAATCGGATCTTTATTCCTCAAAATGTGCCAGTGTAAAAAATTTTTTATGTAAACCACATAGTTGCAATTTTGTTTTTTAAAAAATATATATATATTTATGATCCGGACTTATATCGGTCTCCGATTCCTAGTATATTTTGTAGTTTTTTTAAAGATTATGATAAGTTCGATAAAATATTTTACCCATAAATTCTTTTTGCTGTTTGTCGTTTTAAAATAAAGATGATCCTAATTAATCCAGTTCATATTTTGGTTTCATATACATTGTCCTTACTACAGGAATTGATAAAGTGTTGCTTAGCGTGTTTGCCTTCACAATAGACTTGTGGTATGTTGTTAAACTCATTATGCTTTAGAATTTTGTACGTTACGGATTTATTTGTTTGAACTATCTTTCTGCAGGATGGTTGTTAAATAGTCGAAGCATGTCTTGGATTCTCATCTGGGCCTCTATTAACCAAGAGAACTCAGATAAATTTTAAATTTTATCTAATTAGCTCTTTCGTTCATTTCTTTGCCATATAAACTTCAGATTTCGGTGAGAGAAAATTCAAATTGCATATGTAATAGCTAGTACAATTTCCAAATATCTCTTTCTCAGAATTGTTAATTTTTGTTTTCAGAATAGTTCGACATACAAAAATTGCATTTGCAACTTTTTTATTAATAGCACTATCTAATTAATCATTCTCTTTACCAAAATTTCAAAATTGTGAATAAATAATGGCATATGTGTTTCTACAATTGTATAGCAACATTGTGCATCCTCCTTAGTTTTATCCTCTTTAGTTTTAAAATGTAGAAAACCCCAACTAAATTTTGAAAATTTATGCTTGTCTTATTTTTAACTTCTAACACATTATTTCAATTTTAATATTAATATTTTATTCTGCTGAATTTTAGATTATCAAATTAGCTTTTAATAAATAAAAATGAATATAGATAATATTTAAAGTTTATTACATTAAGAATTTTCTACTGTAAAAGTTTAATGTTTTCGTAGTCAGTGAATAACTTCACGGTGAATAGTTTCATTTATGCTTCATGGTTCCTTGGATACCGACAAAGTAGATAAGGTACTAGAGGAGATTGTGTTTAATGCCTACAGATATTATAAAATTAGATATTATCATTCGCATAGTAGGTATTCCATTTTTCTTTGTCATACTATTAATAAAATTACCATGATGTTAAAATAAACAACTTAAATTCTTCTTATAAAAATTTAATCCTCCTCTTATGAAAAATATTATATCAATACGAAGAAGATTTCTTCCCAATAATTTTTTTGTATCTTTACTTTTTGCTGGGATTTAAATCAAAACCAAAGAGCCAAGAAGCTGAGTTCTTCGATGGAGTTGCACTCTTCTCTTTGACAAGTGTATTAAAATTATCAATAGTAATGAATTCATTTTAAGTGGAATATAATGTTTTTTATCTGCGCAGAATTTGGATAATTTGGTAACAGGATTACTGTATCGACTTATTAAAAACTTCTTTTTTTATAAATCTTTGGTCTTTTAGTGCAATATGATTGTCTACTAAATCAATACAAAAAGATTAATACTGTAAATATAATTATAGTTTGAGATACTTTGTTTAGAGATTACCTTTCCAAACCGATGCATAGAGGTGTATCTCATTGATTAAGATGTTGGAATTCTTTAGTGTAAAAATTTTAAAGTTTATGTCAAATTTGAATTTAAATCTGAACTTCAATATAAATGCCCAAATCTAACCTCTGATTTCAAGTCATAATCTTCTCCTATATGAGGGTTGTTCTATTTCAAATCATTGGTTTTATAAATAGTTTTTTATTAGTCATAAAAGGTATATAATTAACCTTTAAAAAAAAACTACAAAAAGTCTTAAAGACTAATGCTATGGGAAAAATACAGACAGTGACGAGACAGAAATGATAATCATAGAAAGACTAAACCTATCAACTTTGATTATCGTTGTATAAAAATAGTTCATTGGAGAAATAATTTAGCGCCACAATCAATTGGCTTTGATCCGATACTTTAATTATCGGTATTAATAAAACGCAATTAATGTGTAACTTATAAACAAACCAATCATGTGATTTTGAAAGATTTTGGAATTTTTAAATAATGATAGTAATTCTTTAATACCCGCGGATATGTTTAAAAATTAAGCATTTAATAAATATAAAATTTTATATTTAACAAGTATACAAAATTTAAAGTTTAAATAATAATAATATTATTTAATGAATGCAAGCTAACAATTGGTACAACTTATTGATATCTACTAAATTCAATATGAGTAAATGAAATTAAATGAGAAGGATTGTTATAATACACGTCACTCTGGTTATACCGACAGCCGGATTAACCAACAATTGGTTATATCGACACTTTTTTCAAAAAAAAACCATCATTTTAAAAATTAGTTTGTTATACCAACAATTATAAGAGATATTAAATATACCGACATACCAATCAAATTAATTTTTAAATTTGCTTTATGCTAAACTTAGAATATAATGAAATTGTTTTTTTGCAATATTTGGTATAAAATTAAGAATGCTTAGCATGAAACAAATTCATTTTATGCATTTATGCTAAACATAAGATAAATTCATTTCATGCAAACATAAGATTTATGCTAAACATAAAACAATTTGTTTTGTGCTAAAATAAATTAATTTTGCTAAGTTTAATATTCTTAGCATAAGCTCGGTAAAAGCAATAAAATTTATCTATACCTAAACTGACATATCTACACAATATCAATATAATGTCAGTATAGATAGAGATGGTTTAAACTGAAACCTGGATATATTGACAATTTTTCCATTGCTAGAGAGTGTCGATATAACCAAAGTGATGTGTATTCTTAAAAATAGCTTGTTTTTTAATACCTCCATTAAATTAACGTGAGTAGAATTAATTAAATGCGGCACAACAAAATGCCATGAATTTGAATGCAAAAATAGCTTGATTTAAATACTTTAAGAGCATAAAATATTTCAATTTTCATATTGTTGTATCTGAAATTGCCATCTCTTAAAAGTGCTATAAGTGCCCGATGTACATACGTATGTGCGCTACATACCAGTGTTGGACAATGATGTCATATAAATGATAGAACTCATGATTTGTCATATTACAATATCATATATATTTCATATGATTCATATGATTTTATATCATATGAAAATATCATATGATATTATGATATAGTCATCATCCAACACTGCTACATACTGCACAAGTGGCAAAAATTCAGGCCTTAGCATGTTCACTATCTAAATTAACAGGAATAAAATACGATAATTAATATTCTTGAAATTGAATAGTTTATTTAAATACTTGAATGATAAATGATTTTATTTTCACTATATAAATCA